TCTCTAAGAATTTTATAAACCCCTTGTCTCACAAGGTGAATCAGTTGGCAACGCCAGCTCTCCCGGAACTGCTTTCTTTCCCACAGCCTACTAGGATGCAAATGCCAGGTTTATATCCTCCTGCAGATGAAATCATCTCGATGGGCCCGACTCCTACACAACCGATAACTGCTCCCGCAACAACTAACGACGCCATGGTCACTGAGCTTGTGTCTATCTATAAACAATTGAGAGAAACTATCCGCCTGAACGGAGTGCAGTCGCAATTTGGGTATCAAGGGAATGTGTCGGACGACCTTATCCATACTGACGTCTTGATCAGAACCTTGGGACTTTCCATTACAGCAGCAGAGATTGCGCAACGAGGTGTTGGATATGAAGGCAGTACCACCCTATTGGCTCAAATTCCGCAGTTGACCTTAACGCACCTTCGCGTACTTTCGGAAACTGCTTTTTCGTATTGCGCAGTCGGAGGATTAAACACAACGGCAACAAATAAAACAGTCTATGAATTTAGGGATATGCATCGACGGAGATTGTGTCAGCTGTTCGTTGGACACCCAGGACTCTCTGGTCTATCCAGCCTAGCATATGAAAACAAGTCCATCGAGCCATTACTTCGGCAGGATAGCTTTGTTTTCCTTACCGAATGCTCTCTGTGCATAGTTCCCGTGCTGAATCTGGACATTCTCCACGTTGTCCGTTTGTGCTATGTCGCTGAGATCGTCAAGGCTTTCCTGGGCTATATCTTACAGCCACAAGGTTTCCTTGAAGTTCTGGAAAAGCATGGTTCAGAATCTTCTACAAATGATGATCCAATGAGTCCACATGAATCTTTGACCAAGGCTATGTTGCATTGGCTTGTAAAAACGTACAAGGCCTCTTCGGTCAAAAGTTCAGTGCCCGAGGAAGGCGGCTCCTCTCTTCTTAACCACGCCGAGGACGTTTCGATCGAAACGGTTAAAAGCCTCCGGCTATTAGTTGACAAATATGCCCTTCCATTCCTCCGTAAAGCGGTGATTTTACTCCATGTTAGGTTTGGCGTCGAATTCCCAAATACCGGTTCCGATTATAATGACTTGGCGGAGATCGATCGCCTTGCAACGCTGCTCAATCTGCCATCCATTGACAGCATTTTTGATTCCCTTGTCAATAGTGACGGAGAAGATAACAATAACATTATTGCCTTACTAGTTTCTGGATGGATTTCACATTTCATTTCCTGGTTTCCCGAAGATTCAGATGCTGATGACCAGCAACAGCAACAGGAGCAACATCAACAACTGGCTACCTTGTCACTTCCGCACCCTGCGATTTTCGAGCTAGTAGGACTTCCCAAGTATTTTGACACGCTTTTAGATGAGGCTACGAGGCGCCGTTGCAAGACTACAGGCAAGGAACTCACAGATCCAAGTATTTGTCTCTTTTGCGGTGACATTTTCTGCTCGCAGGCCGTTTGCTGTCGAGGTCAAGGCGATTGGAGACTGGGTGGCTGCAATCGCCATGTTGCCATGTATGTATTTATCCCTTCTCCTCTCGCCCGCATGCATCCAACTTTCATCCTTTTCTAAGTGCGTTAATTATCACCAGATGCTAATGATTATTTTGCTAATAATAGATGCGGTAAAAACATCGGCCTCTTCATCAACATCCGCAAATGCATGGCCCTTTTCCTCCATAATAAGAATGGCTGCTGGCATCACGCCCCTTACCTGGACATCCATGGTGAAGTCGATCCGGGCTTCCGACATCATAGGCGCCTGATATTAAATCAGAAGCGGTATGATCGCCTTCTCCGCGATGTGTGGCTATCTCATGGAATCCCTGCTGTGATTAGTAGAAGGCTGGAAGCCGAAATTAACAATGGGGGATGGGAGAGTATCTAAGGTGTTGTAGGGTATTTATGTTTAAGATTGGGAAATTGGAATTGAAACGGTTGAGCATGCTGGGCATAATATGTGTTTTCTTAACCCCTCCCCAGCCCATTTTTGGGTTCCTCTTCACGTTTGTTTTTATGACGCAAGCACATTTCCTACTTTATTTTATACTATCGTTCTTCCAGTATCTCTATCCATCAAGGAGTACTATGTTGTAGCCGCTTGCTCATCCCCATGGTGTAGCTACTACCAATTGCGATTTTCCCCCCACACAAAAAGCGACATGGTTACTACAACAAATTGTATTCTGTAGTTTTAGGTGAATTAAAGAAAACTTACGGAGTAGACCAGGATGTTAACTAACTAACTAGTTAGTTAATTAACTGTGCCATGCTTACTCACTCTCTCTAGTGAGTGCGCCACAGCGTACGGAAAACCACAGCGTATGGAAAATATTTTGAATATAGTGATCTTCAAAAATTAATTAATAACCACCACCACATCTATCTATAATATAAAGATTATCTATATACTCATTATAAGGTGTAGAATCCACTGTAGATTGAGATTCTATAGAATTATCTTGTTGTGATTGAGTGGCTGTAGATTTTGTAGATTTGATTTCAATCAATTTGTAACACCCTTTGTTGTGCCAAGGCCCCGTGGCGGCTCCGCACGGCCCATCGCTTCCCTTCGGATAATCCCATCTATCCCATGACGTCACGCAGGTGTCTGAACCGGTTTCCAACCACTTTATGACATCATTCAGATGCAATATAAGAGGATCTGATTGATGGAATATGAGAATCCTGTTTCTATACAGAGTCAATAGATTCCTTCTGACAGATCTATACAGCACTGCTGTGAAGCTGCTTCAGCTACTCTTATTTATAAAATGAAGAGAAAATGACTGCTCATTATCTATATAGAATAATTAAATGCTGACTCTTTATTTCAAAAATCAACAATTTATCTTTTATTAATAAAATATCAAAGTTATCATCATTCTCATACAATATTCTTAATGTGCTGAGTATCTTTAATAGTTCAGTGTTTGTATAGTATTCTACAAACTCGTGGTTCAAATGAGATAATCAAGTTTATTTATAAAATTTTTCATTGTATACCATTCTCCTCTTTGCCACTGCCGAGTAGTAACCGCCTCAGTGCCGTCACATTACACAATTGAAGATTTTTATTAAATGTCTTTTTCATTTCATCTGCTCTACAGATTGTGATTTTATGATTGATATTTTTAATAATAATGAAAATTTTATCTATTTATATCTATCTGTGAGAGAATTTGATGATTTAATGTCTATTTCTATTTATTTGATAATAATTTGTAAATTCACTCTCACAGTGTGCATTCAATTCTGCTTGAATCATACTACTCTTGAAAATCTTGTTCAATTGCTTTGTCAAATTAGATGTAAGAATATTCTTCACATCTTGTAAAACTTTGACTGCTGCATTGATTTGATGATATAGTTGTAAGAAACCCGCACTAAGGTGCCAGTTCTAGGCCGGAATTAGCGATAGCCCTAAAGATATGACATCGCCGAACATAACACCACCAACGTCATATCAGGATATGACATCGCCGAACATAGCTCCACCAACGTCATATCAGGTTTGAAATCAAGGCATTATCTTGCCACTTGCATCATACTACGCCATCTACATCATAGCAAGTTCGATCTGCTTATGATACTGTGTGTATATAGCTAGCAGCTGGTCCAACCTTCTAGGGACCAGCGGATCATTCTGTTATAATCTGACCCCTACGTTCTACACCCTCAATATCTAACTACTTGATCCGAATCCTCTCCGATATATCACCGTATTATCTCCTACTGCTTGATCCTCGTAGAGTCCTAAGGACCAACCGAAATATAAGCAGCCATTTCCAACATCGCTGCCTCCAATAGTTTTGCAATCATTTCTGAGAAGATTAATTATGAAGA